AAAATTCATAATTGTCCTTCATACAATAATAAAATTACACAAATTATTAATTAAAATATATTTATAACATCATTAAAAACTATTAATTGAGTTGATGATTTATAAATAAAGAGGCAATTTGTTATAAAAGTAGAAACCTCAAGGGTGAAATGTAATTTCTAGAACCATATGGGGTGATTCATATTTTAAGAAAATCTCAAGAAATGTATATGTAATTTACCCTTTTAAAAACATAAATGTGGTATTGTTATAGGGTATAAATGTCTAATTAAGATGATTTTTTCACAGATGATCCATTCAGCGAATCCTATAATATGAACGGTTCGAATCATCAAAATATATTTAAAAAAACACTATAAGAAAAAGCACAAATGGCGACTAAAATTCAGAATTTCGTCGCTGAAAGTTGACCAAATGGCGACTAAACTGGATGTAGTCGCCAAAAATGAAGCCTTTTGTCGACTAAAATGAATTAGTCGCCGAATACCAGGGTTTTAGCGACTAAACTGTTTGTTGGTCGCCGAATGTAGCAGTTTTACCGACTAAAGGTTGTTTGGTAGCCAAAAGCGACGGTTTTTGGCGACTAAAATAATTTAGTAGCCAAAAGTGATGGTTTTGGCGACAAAAACCATTTTAGTCGCCGATTATAGGTCTTTTGCCGACAAAAAAAGATTAGTCGCTGAAAATGAAGGTTTTTGGCTACAAAAAAAAATTAGTAGCTAAAAACAGTGAATTGGCGACTAAATTTCAATTTAGTAGCCAAAACGGGACGTTTTTGGCGACTAAAAACAGATTTAGTCGCCAAAAGTGCTATTTTTAATTTAAACATATTTTTTTAGCGACAACAAATTAATTAGTAGCCCAAAAATCATAGAATTGGCGACTAAATAATTGATTTAGTCGCCAAAAGTGGCCTACATTTTTTTTTAATAAATAATTTATTTTTTACATAAATTATATTCAATAAAAATAATTATATTTACATATATGGTTTTGTATGAATACCGGTCAAAATAGTATATAAATAATATATATTGCATATATAGTCATGTGATGTTCAAGTGACATAGTGGAAGGAGTATGTTGGTAAAGGTGTTAGCAGTTGGAATGGTTCACGGTTCAAATCTCAGAAAAACCAAAGAATTTGTTTTTTTTTTTTTTACGGAAGAACCTTTGGCGACTAAACTTTTAGTCGCCAAAAGTGTTATTTTGGGCGACAAAATAGTTTAGTCGGCGATTCATGGACTATTGGCGACTAAAATATTAGTCACTAAATGTGTGCTTTTAAAAAGTGTAATGCACCAATGGCGACTAAACAGTTGGTTGCTAAAGAGCTCTTTTTTGCCGACTAAAAAAAGTTTAGTCGCCGATACCTCTCGCGACCACGTATGCGCTACAAAAGGGGCGACTAAAAAAATTAGTCGCTGAAAGTAAAAACTCGACTTTCGGCGACTAAAAGCGGACTTTTGGCGATTAAAAATTTAGTCGCCAAAAATGATTTTTCTTGTAGTGAAAAAAAAAGAGGCTCCAATAGCTCACATCATGGTGTGGTGCTTGTAAAACACAACACCTCTCCCTAGTTCGATGGTTATCGATCAGAGGATGTTCAATTCTTTGGGTCAGGCTTCTCTCCAGTCCGAGATCGGACTGGAGCTTGCTATTGGGCCCGTGGACAGGGACGGAGGCAATTAAGGATCATGGAGGGCACGCAACCAGGGAGGACGGGAGGGCACGTGCCCTCCCCCTTCCCAACTTTTGAAAAATTGCACTTTTGTCTCCAGTAAAAAAGAAAGAAAGTTTCAATTTAATCCATTCAAATATGATATTAAAATTTTAAATCTCTATTTTCTTTACATTTTCTCTTCAAAAAAAAAAACTTGTTTAATATATTACTAGTCTCACCAATTTTTGTGTCATTGAGTTTTTGTTATATCACTTTTTATATGAATACTTATAATTAGTTCCTTTGTTTAGAGATACTTATTACACAATTAATAATATATTACTATGTAATTCAATTATTCAAAATTGTGAAAAAAAAAAAGTAATATATAGCATTGTCTTTGTATTATCTATTCACTATCTCTCATTTCTTTTTTTTATTATTTTTTATTTCTATCTAAATCTCTTTTGTGTATGCAACTTAATATAATTTCGTTTTCATATTTAATAAAACATGTGATTATTTCTCAAACCATGTGATTATCATATATAAAATCAAATTAAAAACAAAATATGATTAAGATTGGCTAACTCGAGCTTATATTTAAATATAACATTAGCATTACAGTACTTTTTATTCCTACCATCAAATAAAAATTAGGTTAAGTTTAATTGTGATTTTTTTTTTAAGATTTCAACTCGATAGTACCCCCTTTGAGCTAAAATTATGGCTCTGCCACTGCCCGTGGAAGCCCACCATGAGTCATGTTTCAATAATCCAAACCATTTAATAATTAGAATTCGTTGAGTACTTCATTCTTATAAAAAATCATGTTAATCACATATTAATAACCATTTGATCAAATCGTATTCCTGTCAATAGCAAATATGATTTTTTTATTAAATTGTTAACAAAAATTTGATTTAATAAGTAGCTATCAATATCCGATCAACATGAACTTTTACAGGAATGAAATACTTGACAAGTTCTACACATTGCGATTTGAATTATCACAATAGAACTCGCGATAAACTTCATAGATCCGAACAATATGGTGCACTCCACGTGGACCGGAGAGAATCTGATTCCCAATTTATATATATAGAGATAGGAAAAGATAGACTGCGTGTGCTATTTTTTATGGGGTTGATTGCACATGCATCTCCTCGTCTAACCTCTTCCTCTTACGTAGGAGAACCTCTTGAAATAGACCAACCACTATTTCGGTTTCTGTAGAACTATTCACGATACCGCCTACTGCCCAGTATCCATCATGTCGGATCAGGGAGGTAACTGGTTTCTTTGCCACTCCTGTTACTTGCTCGAGGGATTTGTTATTCTTTCTCCAATTCATTGGATTTTTCGCTGAATTTTTGTGTCTCCTCCCCAACCTATGGTTTCATAAATAGTTAAATCAAATGGGGATTTGTGTTTACTCAATTTATTTAAATTACTTTTGTAAGTTATAATTAAGGGTCATTAATGGAGCGGGACGGGTTTATTAAGTCCGTAATTATTATATTCAAATTCTATATTTTAATGAGTTTTTTAGATTTTGACTAATCAACGGACTGACACGGGCTGAGTCAATTAGGGTAATTTATCATAGCTTTAAAAAAAATCTAGATTTATTATAACAAAAGGTAAAAAATCCAAATCTTATGGGCCAAAATCAAGCCAAACCGGATTACACATTTTTCATTATACACTTATATTATTAAGTTCTACACATTTTTCATTCAGATATTTTTAACATTTTAATTAGTTATTTTTCTTGTTTACTTTTCAATATAATTCAAGTATTTTGATTTTGATTTTTTTTTTTATTTTACATCTCATATAATAAAAAAAAAAACAATCAAGTAACATATAATACCTACAAATGGAAGGGGAAAAAGCGGAAAGAAAAAAATAAAAACTTTAAACATTGAAAAAAATATATATATATCGAACTAAACATTAAATAAATTTAAGAAAAAAAATCAAAGTAAACATTAGAGTAATCTATGCGGACTCTTATAAGCTTGGTTTATACGCGAGCTTGGATTACAAACCTTTGTTCAAAACCCTAAATCATCTTTCATGGGTTAGAAAGGATTGAGCACTCAAGTAGGCTGAGATTAGCCATAAGACGAATTGATTGGATTAGATAATATCAAGTTTTTTGTCCGCAAGTCATTTGAATAACCCAAGCTACAACAAATAGTTTGATCCCTAGTTTCAAGATAATCCACTTTCTTCAATTCATTTAAATTATTTTGGTGGCATAAGCTATAAGCAATAGAAGTTACATCAAATAATAGTCATAAACAGCCCATTTAGATTGCAGCAAATATTAAATCAAGCTATCTCACATCCTACCATTTAAATTTGACGTTATACATAGCATAAATCAAGGACTTCTGAATTTTTGTCATTGTGTTAAAATCACTAATTATCTAAAAGTTTAAATTATTTACGTGCACTTGGGTTTTATACCCTTTGTACTTCACTTTTGCTTTTATTCATCAAAGTCTCGATAAAGCCCTTCAATCTGTAATATCAGAAATTGAGTGAATATCATTACTGATTAGATTGAGAAGAATGAGGTTCTGTTGGACACTTGGCTAATTCAATAGCCAAAGCAAGATCAAGTGGAGTTTTCTATCTTAAAAAATAAATAAATAAATTTAAACTATATTTTATCTTACAAAAATTAAAAATTTAAAAAAATTGCAGACAACAGTATAACAAAAATAGGGAAGAACTCATTCTCAAACATGAAACCACAACTAATGTTTAATTTAATAAGGCGCCGAAAGAAGGAATCAAAGAACCAAATCCAATTGTACCACACACCAAAAAAAAGAACCAAATCCAATCAAGATTGTTCCAGATGATGATGATGATGATGCACAAAACCAATCAAGTAAACAACAATCTCCCAACATTACCCCTCACAGACATGAGACACCTATTAGACAGAGGGGTAGTGTTAAACCCGCTTGTGTGGAGCGAAGCGAGCCGAAATATAAGCAAAAATGCTATGGACCATGACACATCTACTCAAATTTTTCTGAGTAAATTAAATGTATAATTAAAATTAAATTAGTGTTATGTGAAGTCACATATGAAATAAATCTGATATATTGATGTGAAATTCACAGGTACGTAATATTACTGATATATGAGAACCTCTTTCATTTGACAGTTCAACACAACTTGATTGGGTCAGGTTTTAGTTCAGGCTTCATAAATAGTTTGAGTTTGGGTTGGGTCACACAAAACTATGATAATATAGACATTTTAAGTACCTAACCAGTAAAGATTGCAAGAACAGGGCAACATCAGTTCAATATTGGCCTGCAAATCCAAACTTATGGCATTTCACATTGTGAAAGAGCACAACTGGACTTGTTTGATTACCAAAGACAAGGAACTTGACCATAATTATCAATTATTGGCAAGATTGTAGATCATTCTGTACATATTACATACGGCACCAATGAAAACTACTCGCCCGATTAGCTCCATATCCAACCGATCTCTCTCAACAGTCAAAATCCCCTCAGATAATCATTCTGACCCATTCGATCATTTGTTAATTCACAAGCAAAACACTACCGGCTTACATCACTTATCACCTTTGGACCCATCTCACATGGCATCTCCCTTGCAACCAAGTTAAAGAACCCCGCATGAAAAACAAAAAAAAAATGCAGCAGAGCAGATGGCCCTCAAATGCATATGCTTTGCCCGAGCATCTGACACCATCACATACTTACACTTCGAATTGTGTCCACTCGATCAATGACATCCAAGGCTTTGATACGGTCAATATCAAAGTTGATGATAGGTAACGACGATGGCCACCTGATGGGGAAAGGATCCTTTTTAGTTTCACTCGTCGGGGAGTGGCTACTGCTTTTACTCAGCCTGTGGTGCTTGCTTAACCTGGTTTTCACCGTGTCAAATTCCTGACTTTTACTTATGCCAGGTGTCAGTTTCCTCTTGCTTACATCCCGAAGCATCTCTTGATCTTCAACTGTCAGCGTGGGTGATGGAGAACTGGATTTATGTGTGGATAATTGAATCATCTTTTGATTCGGCGAGCGAATTGGGGATTTAATAGGGGATCTGATTCCACCATTTGTTGCAGCCCTTGATTGGGTAACAAGATGATGAAGCCACACCACCAATTCAAGAATGTAAGCTTCAGTTTTTTCCTTGTCAGCATGATGAAGTGTTTCGATTCGGATTAAGTCGACCTGCCCAGTCGCCTTCCTGTTCACATCAGACCTGAAGAAATTTAAATCGTCTTTACTAGAAGGGGCAAAATAACCAAACTCAAAGAGGTAAACAGACATCTAGCAAACAACACTCACCCAGTGTTTGCCCATTCTCCAACCCAACCAAAGCCATGATGTGCTCTGGTTTTGACCCAATTTGTGGTTAACAAAACACAAGGATTAGTGATCATTGAACACAAAAGAGAACAAATAACAATTGTAAAAAATGTTGCTGAGAAAGGAACATATAGGCCAAAATGTAAATAATGTTGTGAAGGCTAGTAGTTTTACTTGGTTGTGTTAGTGGCAATGGGAATGAGCCACTGCAATGTTTTCTCCATTTCAGCTTTTATTTTGGGAACAGTATGCTGCAAATGAACCATTCAAGAGAAGGCTATAAATGACCACACAGATGCATAAAATATCATAAGCAGATTTAAAGTAAAGAAATGTAGACAAGGTATGTCATTAAGGAAATGACTGGTTGGAATTATTAATTTCATAGCTTGAGTTAACAGATTGGATCAATAAGAACCAAGTACCTCTTCCTTAAGCTGAAATGACAGTAACTTGGAGCGTAAAGCTGACTTGATAGTAGGAGGGAGTCCTTGATATAGAGCATCCCTTGTATTTGGAGGGACAGAACTTGATCGTGTTACCTGAAACCATCAAAGGTTAACTTTCAGAAGAAAAAAAAATCCAATAAAAGCCCTAAACAACACAATATACATCATACATCTTATTTTTCTTTTCCATTTAATTGACGTCTCAGCTTGCTAGAGTGATGCATTTGATAACCTCTAAAGATCAAAGCAATATAGTGAAGAGATATCGAAAACAACATTAATGGATAAGATAGACGAGAAAACACAACAATTAGCAGTTTCAGAATCTTAGAAGAATATCATTACTAAATTCAAGTTGACACAGTAATAAACCAGTGATCTCTCCATCTCTAGGTGCTTGTCGTTACTCTAAACAGGAAAGGCACGAAAACATTATGAGATATGGATCCAAAAGATAAATCAATCCTGGATTGGAAACATATTGTTATTGGAAAGGGAAACAAGAATTGCTTAACACGTAATCAGAACTTTGGAGGGGCTCGTAACAACCTTTTAAGTGAAAAATAATAACATTGACAATGCTATGATACAAAATAATAACACCCAATTGAATAATAAACTCACAAGTGTATCAATTTGAGTAATAACATTTGCATAATGCAATGCAAGACCCGCAGATCCCAATTTCTGGTTATTGTTTTTCACAGGTTTATCTCCATCTGCAAGGGTAACAAAGAATAATAAAAACAAATCATATGATATCATCAAAAGAATTAACTCAAAGAAAAGCTCTTACAAACATCAAATATCAATATGGTTTAAGGCACAGCATGGCACTCCCCATAATATGGAATACACCACCAAACAATGAAGATGTAGTACCAACATACAGATACAAAGTTGCAGCAATATTAACGCAAGTTTTTACTTCTTTTTTATTTATAAAAATAAAAAATAAATAAAATAAAAGCTTTCAATTACTCATCAAGATACCCAAGGACTGCAGCAATGTACGATGCATCAAAAAGGCTCAATAAAAAAATTGACCTCATAAATAAAATTTTAAAAAAGCAAGGATTTGCTAAAAATTAAGTACGTAAAACACCCATCCCGAGCTTATGGATCGCAACCTCCCAATGAAACAAAAGTGGGGAACCATCCAAGTGTTCCTTTCAGTCGTCCTTCTACAACAACTTCCCCGACATTCCATCACCTCTTTGAAAGAAGTTCGCATTGCTCAGTGTCAGTACATGCAACTTGTAGATACATGTATTTTGAGTCAATTTGTAAATAAGTTAGCAACTTGCAACTTGCTCAACTTGCTATCTCAGATTTGCTCATTGTCAGTACATGCAACTTGTAGATACATGTATGTGCTTGGTTCATCCTCATTGGTTGAGAGGGTTGGCAGCCTTGCCTATGTAAAGGCAAGAGCTCTTCATTTGTTAACACACCAAACCGAGCAATAAAAAGCATTTCAGTAGCTCTTTTAGTCCCTGTAGACACCCCATTTTTGACCGTCCTCGAGACTTGGTTGTGCTTGCAGGTACACCCAACAACTAGTTCGATTGCTCGCTAAGTACTCGACTGTCGCGGCAGAACGTCACCGTTTCGAGCTTCCCAGACCTTGTATCCTTTCTACCCCTTTCTTGGACCTTGGCTAGGTCCTCTCTTAGTGGACCTTTTGGTTCACTGCCGGCCATGGCATGGCACTGTCGGCCATCGGTGATGCCCTGCCGGCCATCAGTGAGCCACTGCCGACCATTGATGATGGCCGGCACCCCCCCTGTCTCAGCCAGTTTTCCTCCAGATCTTTTGAGCCAGCTGGATTTTTGTTTGCTCCCCTCCATACGTGTATGGAGGGATGAAGCCTTTGCAAAGCTTCTTGAAGAAGCTTTGGCTTTGCATTCCTCTATATAAGCAAGAGGCCTCCCTCTTTGCCAGAGGTGGAGCCATTTTGAAGAGAAAAACCTCTCTTTTTCTCTATATTGTTTGTATTTTGTGCTTAGAAATTGGATTTCCTTGCACTTTTACACTACAACACCTAGAGGTACACCACCACCATTGGACAAAGCTTCTTGGGAGGTCTTCTTGAGATCTGAAAGTGAGTTTCTATCCCCTGAAGTTGCTGGTTTCGAAGAGGGTCTTCAAGGGTGAGTATTTTCCCCATTTTTGCACTTTCTTGCACCTTGCTTTAGCCCTCTTTGCATATTGATTTAGGCTTTGCTTATAACTGAAAAAAGTCTTGTATTTAAGTCCTTTTTAAGTTTGTTTAAGGTCATTTTGCTGTTAGGGGTGTGTAGCCCTCTTGCATGCTTTGTTTGGCTTTGTTTTAAGCCATGTCTTAAGGCCTCCGAGCTAGCCTTGGTTTGGCCTTCCTACCACTGAAATCCAGTAGATATTCAATGGTAAAGGTGTGGTTTTGAGGTCCTTAATCAAAGGGGGGTGGCCCCCTCTCTTTTGGTTCCTCTTTACTTGCATTTTTGGCCTTCCAAATGACCATCCTTCTATGTATTTTTGAGGCTTGGTTCAGGCCTATTTTTGTGACTTTTAGGACCTGCCTTGGCCCTATCCATGGCTGGTTTGGTCATATTTTGCATGCATCTTGTATGTGTAATGTAACTCCATTCATAGCTCATCAAAGTAGCATGTATGCTTAGCTTGTGTTAAGTCCATTTCAGTGGGTTTTGGTGATATTTTACCATGCCATGAATCTGTTTTGGATTGGTTTTGTCACTCCATGCTTGCATGATACACTTGTAATGTAAATTCCCTAAACTAGCTTCATATGCTCCATGCTTTGCCATGTCATGTTAGCTTGTTTGGTTTACATTTCAGCATGTATTTGGTCATCATTTGGCATGTCATGACCCTATCCATAGTTGGTTTGATCATCCTTTGCATGCTCCATATAGGTGTAGAACAAATCTTGTTTACTAGCTTTTTGTGCATGGTGTTTTGACTCATCATCCTAGCATATTTTGGCTTTGCTAACATGATTTTATGCTTATTTTGGGCTGCTCTAGGACTGTTTTGGGCTGCCATGGCCAAATCACTCATGCTTTGTATAGCTATAGTGTAAATGCTTAGGCTAGTCTTGGGTTTTGAGGCCCCTACCATGCCATACATGTGATGTTTGCATGCCTTGCCCTCATTCTACATGCTATTTCAGTCCATGAAATGTTGTTGTTCACTTGCATTTGACATGCTTTGAATGCTTTATAGAGCTTGTACTTTATGCCTCAAGAATGGACTTTTGTGCATGTCATTAAGCCTAAGCCTTTGGCTCATCATTTCAGTGCATTTTGGGTCTTATTATACCATGATGTAACTCTGTTTTATGTCGCCCAAGTCATGCCATGTTTGGTTTCAATAGGTGTAGTGCATTGCCTCTTTAAAGCCTTGCATGCTCCATGTTTTTTTGGCTTTGTGTTCTAGCCTATGTTGGCTAGCTTTGAGCTTAGTTTTGGTCTTGTTTGGACCTGCCCTAGGACTGTTTTAGGTCCCCTCGGCCCCTTTGGGGTTTGCCTTGTATGGCCTTGGCTTAAGTCCCCTTGCTTACTTTGAGCTTTGAGCATCATAACATGCTATGCTTGCATTGTTGATTTGATTTGGCCTCACTTTACATGAAATTTCAAAGCTTACCTCATTATCATACATCCGTGTTTGTTGCTCCTTAAGTGTGCTTAAGAGTTGTCCTCTTTATGCCTTAATACTTGAGCCATTTGGCATACATGTTTGTCTTGCCATTTCATGCTTTTCATGCCATCAATTCATCACTTACGGCCACTGATTTGGGCTTAGTTGAGAGCTGCCCACATTAGTTTAAGTCCATCCCTTTGCATGTTGTCACATGCTTGTCGTGCATATTGTTGTATACTTGCTCCATCTTTGCATGTTGTCGCATGCTAGCCCCATTACATGTTGCATGTCCATGTTGCATTTTGTCATGTTGTCCAAGGTTGTCACCTCACATCATGCCTATTGCTTGTTGCATGTCGTTAGCCTTGTTAGGTTGTTCATATTACATGTTTGCCATGCTTACGTGTCGCATTGTTTGGATTAAGTATTAATCCAAGCACGAGGAACGAGGGGCGTTTCATACTCCGAGTGATGGAACGTGTCTCAATTCTCGGTCGCCGAAGCTCTTAATGATTCATGATAGAGTTCTAGGCTTTACTTGTTGTTTTTGCGCATTCATTTTCATATTGATTTGCACAAGTTGGATCTTTGGCCATCATGCATCGGGATGCATGATTGATGGTCGTGGATCCGACTATACCTCTGCCTTGATGTTTTGAGGTGATTTGGGGTGGTATAGTGCATATACACCCTTGGGAGACCCTCCCATTTCTCTATTTTGTGCTTTGTTGCAGTTTGGTGTCACAGCACACCAATGGCCGGCAGTGCACCACTGATGGCCGGCAGACTCTCATCCTTGGCCGGCAGTGCCCTATTGTTGGCCGGCAGTGCCTCTTTCATGGCCGGCAGGCCACTGGTGAACCCTCCAACAGTGTTTTGATAAGTTTCAGCAACAAACACTGGAAGACACCCTGCAAACAGAGCCTCTAAAGAGCAACCGAAAGGTGTTTCGAGGCGAAGAACCGAAGCGAGCATGCATACCTTCCTCTTCTCCAAACAGAGCTGGAATAGCATTCATTTACTGCTTACTTGTTAGTTAGTAGTTGTGTAATAATTAGTTGTAACTAGTTATTCATAGGGTTTTGTAATAATTAATTAGCTCGTGAGTTAGTTAATTAGGAGGGCTTGTATTATTTATTCGGACCCTCCGAGCGAGGACACAGTTGTAATAAGTGTGCGTGAGTATGTGAATGTCTTCCAACCCCACGTCTTTCTCCCTTTTACTTACCTACTTTTGATGGTTAGTTTAGGGCATGTTTCAATTAGCATACTTATGCTTCGCACATTTGCATTCATTCATTTGTATTACATATACCAGGCTCGGCGCATCATACTAAGGTCAAGTTTGGCATCCTCTAAAAAATTCAAAAAGTCAAAAAGTCACTATCCTATTTAAGTCACATCATCTTATTTAAGTCACATCACCTCTTTAACACATCACTTCAAACCCAACCCAAATCCAACCCATATTTCATAAAAAGTCAAAAAGTGCACTTATTTAGTCTTCCCAAACTTGGCCTAACTGCATTGTATTTCAATTTCAAGTTGAATACATGTTAGTTGTAGCATCTCATATGCCATCTTAAAAAAACCGAGCCTATTGTAGTTGCATTACTGCATGTGTTGCATTAGCCATCTTAACATGAACTAGGATCATGCATGTGATTACTAACTAGTTTCTGTTTTGGCTCGAAGTACTCGGTAAGTGTTCATGCTTTAGCATCCTTGCATGTGTGTGAGTGACTGCCATGTTAGCATGCTTACCATGAGGCTAACTGCTTATGTGATATACTTGCCTGAATGCCTGTGGGTGAAGCTTGGATTATCTGAGTTGGAATAATACAGTGACTGTGAGTTTTAAGCCCACTTGAGAGTGGCAAATCATCTTGTTTTCTAAGCCCACCCGAGGGTGGCAAATCCACGTCTTAGCCTACTTACGAGTAGCACCATCAAACCATTTTCAAATAAACAAACATGAGATGTTTTGTTCCAATTCAGGCGATCCAGTCTATACTTGTATGCTGTGCGCATCACATAGTAAATCTAGGCTAATAACCGAAATAAGAACGCATAATGT